CTATTTGCATGCATCCACACAGACACATATATGAACATTTATAAACATGCTTTCTTCCACCTATAGCTATGCAGATTTAAAAGCCAACCCCTCTTTATCTTTAGTCATAACACACTGAAGCTTACATACTCTTTGATATCATTAGTTAATCATTCCCTGAGACAGTGCTCTATAGTCACTTATTGCCGCATGTTTCAAATCAACCTTGTGAACATATTAAAAATATATTTCAGGAAGAGAAGGGAATACATATATAAGACATAGATAAGCAGTGGTGTCTAGTTAGGCAATTAGAAGTGATCATTGCATTAATTTTTGTTTTTTCTTTTAAAAACATTATTTTCCCATTATGGCTTATATATAAATACTTCTGCCTTCTGGATCCCCACTTTATGTTTCTTCTTATCTCTGCAATTAGCCCTGAGATGCTTCAAGGACAGGGGGAGAGACTTAAAAATTATTTTTGCAGCACAGAGTGGGACTGGTAGAGCTTTTCATCAACATGTGTGTGCACATGCACACATGAACATATGTACACACCAACCACCACACTTCCACTGAGGATTCTTTCCTCATCCATAACAGCCAGTAAGGACCTGAAAAAAAATTCCCCATTGCAAAACACTGTATGGCAAGTGTCTGGCATTCTTGTACAGCAGCTCTCTGGATTTTATCAATGAAATCTCTTTCTACTACTGTAAACACAGTGGTATCATTCATCCTACACCAGTAATATATGCTTTCCAATGCAGTAAGAAAAGCTAAAAAAAAGATAAGGCTATGCAGTATCTTCATTAATTCTCATTAACCTTTTTCAGTATCTATGAATTTTTAACCAATTAAAAATGTGATTAATTTAAAACTACCTTAAATAATTTTAAAACATTACTAACCATCAATCAGTTCCCATTAAATCAATTATGCAGGCCAAATACTTCATACTGTTTAAAATCATCTTGCATATTTGAAGAGCAAAACCAAGAATTTTTCTATACATCATGCTCAGCATACAAGTGCTATGAAAAAAAATAAAGGTTCTCTAGTTGCAAATATCTACATATCTGACTAAGAAGATTACAGGGACAATCGTCTCCCAGTTATTCTCTGCACATTTAACAAGTTAGCTCTGAAATGCTAGGACTCTGAAGCATCATTACTTCTTGTGGACACTTGGATGGTGAATTCTGAGAATGGTTATGAATCAGTAACTGAATCCAGATTATTTTTTTTAATATCTAGAGTTTATAGACTCGCATACAGAGCTGTAACTGAAAGCAGTTAGCAGAACTGTCCATGAAGTTTGTTTAGAGCAGCTTAAGTTTTGTTATTTGGGTGTTTTTCTGAAAAGCCAGTCCTCCATAATTAATGCTATGCTTTTCATATTTTTGCCTTAAACTACAATTTGCTCTTTTGATTTTTTGATAGATAAATAAAGATATTTCCTGCCTGTTTGATACGATGTTTTGGAGAAAAAAAATATTTCCAGACTTTTTTTTCTTTCTAAAAATATAAGTATCTATTTCTAATAACATTCTAAATAACATTATTTTATCAATAATGATACTATGGATGACAATATAGAGACAGCAGAACAACTACAAGATACCACAGAATATGCAGTAGGAAACACAAAAAAAGGCTTTCAAAACTCATCTCTTAATCCAGGAATACGACTTAAGGTAACAGCCCAATAAAATAATCAAATTGGAGGGAAAGGGAAGGAGATGTAACATGATCTTTAAAGTCAGTACCAATCACTGGTAGAGACCTAAGCCCACTCCATACTTAAACTGTTAGAAAATCTATTTTTATGGCATTTCACTAGAAAACAAACCAGAAGAAAATGAACAGTCTATGAAGAAGACATTTTTTACTTTTTTATTTCAAAAGTGAAGCAAAGGCTTTCATTTATGCCACTTCAGAGTGACCTTAACTGTCTTTTTTCCCCTAGTCATTTCATTCTTATGGGAATCTGAAATATATCTGCTTTGAAATATTGGTTTTAATGTGAGGGTTTCCTCCAAATGCAGAGCTTACTTCTGCTCACCTTCTACTAAAACTCTGAGCATTAAGAGTCTGTGCAACCACTGCAGTATATCCAAAGAAATCTTCTATCCATTTCCCAAGACTTAGACTTTGCTCAAATTTTGAAGCCTGCTGCTTTACGGCTTCTGTGCAAAGGCTGTGATTTAGTAACATTACTGAAAACTGTAAGCCCAAAAACATTTAACTGAACTCTTGGTGATTTCATAGGAAAGAAATACAGCCTCTCAGGCCCCTTCATTTTTCCATGTGGATATCAGTGAAAGCTAGAGAATGCCAGCTCTAGGAAGCATGCAACAGTTTTCCCACTTTGTGTTCCCACTTGAACAAACATTAGAAATAAAACTTCACTCAATGTGGGTGCACTGCTTGTTTCTCACCGCTGCCTGTGCCTGTTAGATAACCTGACAAACATCATGCAGTGCAAGAAAGGACTAAATCATCTCTGCATCCTCTCTAGGTCAGGACACAGATGGGCTGTCCATATACTGTATGGCAGAGGTCCCAGTGTGCCATAGCACCCACAGTTCTTGCCTCTGGGGACTAAGAATGTCCCTTTACTGCACCACAAATCTGATTCTTCAGAGCTCAGGCCAACTGCTGGTAGACAACAATCTTCAGGCTGGTAGGATTAAATATGCTCAAATCACATTTCTGCAGAGAACTCTGAAGGTTCCCCTTGCAAAATTATTTTTCAGATCAGTTTTCTAAATAAACATAGATTCTTTGACAAGGAAGTGTGTTAAGATGTTATTAAGATCTGCAAGCCCAATAAAAGCACAACACACATCCAGCCACAGGAGTATTTTTTCACAAAAACCTTTGGTTTGTCGGTAACAAGCCCATGAGATACCACCTGGGGAGGGGGAAGGTTCCCCTAACCAATTCATTCCTTTGTATTTTTAATCTGTAAACTTCAAAAGAGCAAAAATTTGTATAGAGGAAGTCGAAGTTACTGTAAAGTGTCAGGTTTCAGAACAACTTACCGCCAGCTCCCCTCCCACCCTTTAATTCACTTACCTACTGACACAACTTTCTACAATGTAGAGCCTTGTTATTTCTTCAGTATCACCAGTGCTGTAATAACAAGTGTTTCACATACTGCAAAAACAGAAATGTGAGAGGGTCAGAAAAAAACACTGATATGAAAGATATGAGATAATGAGAAGAGGTAATTTATACTGAGCAACCATAGGCAAATGATAGTGCTCTACCTGTAATGCTTCAAAGCAATCCCCAGTGTAATAACACATATTCCTGTTTTGCTTTTTTCTGAAGTATATAGGACATAATATGCACATTATGAAAAACATATCAACCTGTTGCTACTGGAGTCAGTTTGCACAACATCCGAAAAGCTCGACACTGTAACACACCACAGTTATTTGATGTACATAGGTGCTTCCCACCTCACCTCACCTCACTGCAGCTCACAAGGAGAACGGCTTGTCTTTTCATCGCCATGTCTATGCCTCTCCTTCTCAGGTGGGATTCAGAAAAACATGGCTGTAGGAGTGAGCAAAAGGGCTGGCAGTGCTATGTGTGTGGGTGGGTGCAGAAGCCTTCCTGAAGGTTGTACTGAACATGAGGTTCTGGACAGCCAGTGCTAAGAGGGAGCTACTGACTCCTGCAAAGTGCAGGCTGCTTGCTGTTCTCTCACAGGTTATTTCAGAAAGCCAGAGTAATTCTTGTTCTGAAGGCAAGGAGGAGCCGAGTGGCCAGAAAGAGGTAGAAAAAAGAATAATTTCTGAGATGCTCAGTATTTTGGCATAAGGTGTTCACCCCTAACGAAGAGGGAGAAGTGAAAGAGGGATCTCAGATGGCTTAGAAGTAAAAGATCCAGTAGGGCACACTAACTGAATAAAAGCTATCGCTTGTTAGGCCTTTACTAAAGAAGGATGTTAGTGGATTTAATTTCATTTCAAGAGGCCTTTGAGAGGCAATATTGTTTGGACTTTTATCAAGGGTTACCGTACCATAAGCATGAAGCTTCTTTTTTAATCTATCCTTTGAGGCTTTTCAAAGCAATTATTTCTTTCTTCTGAGAGACTATTAGAGTGTCTGCCATGCTCTGTGAGAGAAGGTTTAATCCATGCTGCTTCTGCTGTTGCCTACAGTGTCAAAAAACAGCAATGCAAATAGTCACAATATCCTCGGACAGAAACACAGAGAATATTTTTTGCTTTCATACTAGTCTAATTCTAATTCTTTCTTAGAAAAATACATCTTTCTAGGCATTTATTTCAAAGATAAACTAGGCAGCTGCTCAGAATAATCAAGTTGATAATCATTTGTCAATATTGTCATTTCCAGCAGCCCACGACCATATATCTACTGGAGAAAATTTTTCATATTCACATTAACTGCATGTTAATGAAGTCTCATTTGATATTAAAAATATAAATAACTAAAAAAAGTAATCCACCTTTTTTTGTGATGATTCAGAACAGCACAGATCTATCTTCAGGTGTTTCCCTTTAAAGTGCTGCGTGATACCAGAAATCTTGTGGCTCTCTGCTGGGCCTGAAAATACTCCTTGTAGGTAGATGAGGAACTTCCAAAGTGTTCTTACTGTACAAAACTTTGTTCTTCTTCATCCTTTCCATTTCCCAGGCAAAATCTGACAGCTGAAACTTCTGTGCAATAACCACAGAAGAGCCAACATGTCCACACAGGAGTTGTGAGAAAGATGTACAAGGAGCCCTTCCAGGCCCCTGCTCCAAGATCCACCATTAAAAGTGCAATTCCTGTCAGAAATGCACATTTTTCAGATTATTACACTTCCAGGACAATGATACACACAACCTTCGACCTTTCTCTGAATCACCCCTTCTCTTATTTTCCATCCTACACAAAGGACAATCTCAACTCCGGGCCGAGCACAAAGTTTAGAGCCTCACCTCACCCTCCCCTTGAAAAGGTGTCACGAGGGCCCCAACTTGGCAGTTGGCTCCCACCAGCTTCATCTCCGTGCCAGTCCTGCTCCCTCACGCCAGGCCCACCACCCCGCATCTCGCCCCCTCACCTCAGAGCTCCGTCTCCCGGCCGGGCTGGCCTGGCAGCACCGGCCCCTGCCAGCCTGGGGGAGACACAAGGAGGCAGGGGGTCTCTACTGGGTCCACAAGCTCTCCTGTGAGACTGATCGTCTCCTGCACTAACAGAGAGCAGATATCCAGTGTGCTGGCCTTCAGGGCCAGTGCTGATGGTTTCCTTCGAGAGCACAAGGCCTCACAGTTTGTGCACAGTGCTGCTTTCTGTCAGCTGTAAGCATTAAGTAGCTCTAACTCTCAGGTTATGGTTACCAGGTTTTCCTTCACAAGTTCTTCCATAGTATTTGCATCCTGAAGAGAACTATATGCATAAAGTTATGCTTTAAAAATGAGTACTGGATTAGAAACACTAACTGATGGATGATGCATCGTGCCATTGTCCAAAACATTCACCAGAGCTGGTTCACAGAAATAACCCAATGTGATTTTTGCAGTGGCAGCCCTATAAATGTAAGGAAAATCTATCAGGAAGGCCTTCTATACATGTCCTTGATGGATAAAGCAGCAAAATTCCTCATGGTAGGAAAACGGGATGCATGCTGTGAGAGGATGTGCTGGCATTTTTTACACTCTGGATGCAGTGGCAAAAATCAACCAGCTTTCAAGTCTGACACTAGAAGACAGGACACATTCAACATGCTATAACTGTGCTTAGGTTAGCTTAAGCTCTGAAATGACTTGCAAATGAAGTGTTTGAAAGCAAAGCAAAACTAATGGTGAACTTCAACCTTTTTTCCAAGATCATAAGAGGGACAAATACTTAATATAAACTTGGAGATACAAGACATCTCAACAGAATCACTTCCTGCAAAGCAAAACTTGAATCCCTATGAGTTATTGAGGAATTGCCTAAAAAAGATGGGGGGAAAGAG